TATATTATATATTTATGTGTCTACGTGAAAGCATATGAGTATAAAACGAGGGAGAAAGGAATTATCATCTGATTCGCATTTCTATTTTAGTTCTTTTTTATTGCATTGTCTCGTCACAACAAGCTAAGCATATAAAAGACATAAAAATCAGTATATGGCACACTGTTACAATATTTATACACATACAAATTAGTACGTTTGCAACGGAGCTCAGAGCTAGCAATGGACCCATAGCAAAGCATTGAGAAGCTACATACAACACATTTTTTCTTTTCTCTTATATTTTTATATACTCCGGTGTTTACATATATACATATAAAATGAATGAACTATTAATACCAAGTAATATATACATATATAATATACTCAGACATATACACAAAGCATTCCAAGATACAAGTACCAGTCTTGAATAAAGACTTACATATACCATACATATGTTTTAAATAGTTTCCTTTGTTGACCTTTATTTGCCAGACTCTAATGCTGTCATTGGATAGTAAACTTTTATACATATGTATGTTCAAACTTTTATACTTATGCACAAATGCATTATGCATTCATAATGTTTGTACTACGTTTACCCACGCATTATTATTACATACTATATATTATATATATATTCCTGTGCCTTACATTTATTCATACATATATATGTATGTATGTATGAATATTTTCACATTTAAATACCCAACGGTGGAGATCGTCAGAAAAGTTTATAGAAATGTAATAATAAAATTATAACGACACATATATGTTCATATCTTTGGAAAGTTATTAATTCACTTACAATTATATTAGCGTAGTCACTTTGGTTGATTCTAAACAGACAAATGGAAAATATATTTAACGTTCCATTTTTTTGTACGTTTTTAGCAAAAATAACATATACTATACATAGATATTTCAGAAATAATATTATGTTTCTATAACCAATTACACGTAAGATTAGAGTTTTTTTTTTTGGTTTTTATAATATAATATTTCTCTTGATAGCGTATTTTTCATTGATAAAATATCCCTGATAAAACCTTTCGCCTTGCGCGTTACCCATATCAGCAGCTTATGTATTTCTAAGATCATAGTACAAGCCAAAGTTCTATATGATATTATTAGATCATTTATCAAGGCTTTGTAATTTCCCTCTACGTAGAACGTTGCAGATAATTTCAACTATCTTGGAACCAGCGTAAACACCACCAACAATGTCAGCCTCGAAATCCAACGCAGGATAACTCTGGCCAACAGTTGCTACTTCGGACTGAGTAGGCAGTTGAGAAGCAAAGTCCTCTCTCGACGAACAAAAACCAAACTCTATAAGTCATAATTCCCGTCGTAGCAGAGGCTTGGACGATGACAACAACTGATGAGTCGACGTTGCGAGTCTTCGAGAGAAAAGTTCAGCGAAATATTTATGGTCCTTTGCGTGTTGGCCACGGTGAATGTCGCATTCGATGGATTGATGAGCTGTAATAGATATATGACGACAATGACATGGTTCAGTGAATTAAAAGAGAGCGGCTACGCTGGCTAGGTCATGTTGTCCGAATGGACGAAAACAGTCCAGCTCTGAAAGTATTCGGCGCTGTACCCGCCGTGGGAAGCAGGGGAAGAGGAAGACCTCCACGCCGTTGGAAGGACCAGGTGGAGAAGGACCTGGCTACSCTTGGAATATCCAATTGGCGCCACGTAGCGAAAAGAAGAAACGACAGGCGCGCGTTTGTTAACTCGGCTAAAATCGCGTAAGCGGTGTCTACGCCAATTAAGAAGAATAAGAAAATCAATGCGGACAGTCCCGCTTCGATTCCGGCCTTGGAGTAAAAAATTACTAGTGCCATTCGTCAGTTACCAGGCGAAATGCTCGAACGATGGATGGACCATCTGAAACGTAGCCGCGGCAAGCATTTGAAAGAGATAATTTTCAGTAGTTAAATGGCAAGAAAATGGATTTCCGAATGATAATAAACATTCCACGTTAAATTTGAAGTTTCTTTATTTTTTCTTTAAAAAGTAGGATCACGTTATTCACGTTTACGAGAATCCATTTTTTTGCAAACATTACATAAAATAAAATTATTTTTTGAAAATCTATTGGCATGGCATACCCTCGAATAGGTTCAGTGTGCATATCTCACAAACCATTACAGCTATTTGAATCAAACTTGCCGAGAAAAATGTTCCTAATACATCTTCGAATACTGTAAAAGTAGAGAAAATGAGATGAAGACCATGCCCACACCACATATAACAATTATGTTGAAAGTTATTAAAAGTGTAATATAATGAGTCGGAAAATTAAACGAATTGACTTCATGGAAGCTGGTGTTAAAATTGAACAATGGGCGTGGTATCGCCAACCCTTGGCTAAAATCTTATATCTCAGGAACTATTTTACCAATTTGACGCATAACAATATTTTTATTTATTTATTTATTATTGAAATAAAAGTTTTCAGACAAAAGCGTAGTTAAAGTATGCAATTTTACGTCGAAAAATAGTGGAACTYAACTCGTACCATAACTTTTCAAGTTCTCAGATACCGAATATGTAGACCTTAGTGCTGATAGAAGTCTGTATAAGAATGAAATTGGTCAAGATAGTGGTCTGAAGGTCATATCCCTGATAAAATGACTTCCGACTGATTTTTTCCTCGTAACATAATTGGTTAAATTTTTTACACGGTTATAGGCAAGGGTTGTTCAAAATCTTTAAGAAATATAATAAGAAAATAATATAAAACCATCAAGCAGAGGATCTTTCCACTATAATTAATGGCTCAGAGTACCAAGCGAAAAAACCTTTTTGTTTTGCCCACACTAATATAGGCAGATTATTTCACAAATATTACGTAGGTCTCATTTGGTTGATAAGGTTGATTTTAGTAGAATAAATAGATTTCGGAAACGAAACAAAAAGAAAAAGTAATTAAGTCTATTTTCATTAGTATAACAAATAGGATTGCAATTCATTGACGATTTTTTCGAGTGAATAAAGTGAAGTGATATACATATAATATATATTTCCTCGCTTTGAGTCGGTTGGTTATATCCGAATCTTAGTTCTCCTCTTGGTTGAGGCAAAACTTATATTCAGATAAAGCATATTAAGCGAATGCCTATTATATGGAAGGGTGGAAAAAGTCCATATAACTAACTTATTTTCGGAAGAAATTCACGGAAAGACGAATTATTTTCCAAACTTTTTTTGAAAACGCTTGAGAAATTTGAATGAATTTAAACAAAAAATATCTTCAGATATAGGATTATACATTGCACTGTATTAATAACATAATTTCAGCTAACACTACTTTTTATTATTTAATTGTGTAAAAATTAAAATTCTCTAATTACCACTTCAACATAAAAAATATATGACTTTTTTGCTTTGTGCCAGAGCTATTCATAACGAAATCATCTTAATTAAATTAAAAGAATAGCATATATGTACATATGTATGTCATATATATGTACATATCAAAAGGGAGTAACATGAATTTAATTTATGTCTCATAGTTATGACTCTTTATAAGTTTTCAATTAACCATATTTTGTGGGCGCAGCAATGATGGGCTACTCTGAAATGCCAACCTACTTATACCACCAAGGAACACATGGACCAGAAACACAACTAGTATCGTCGTTTTTATTATTGTTATATATGTACATATGTATATAACTCTATATAACTCTATATACATATCCATCTCGGATTAATTTTATGTGCCACAAAAAAGATGCAACATGTTGCTATGAATTTGTTAATAATTACATGCGAATTGATGTCTCTTCAGCCAAACAATACCTGTTTAATTTTTAACCATATTCAAATTTTCTCTTACAATATCTCTTGTAAACTATTTCTATTCAAGAGAAATTTATACTTCTCTTATTCAAAATGTCTCTTGCGTTAATAAATTACGTATCCTAGCATTGCATATTGATTCCCCACTCGTTAGTTTAAAAGCAATCTCCTGCCTCTCTTCATATTTTTGGGCGGAGCTAATGCTAATATGAAGTGGTTGTTTTTGCTAGGCTTCTATAATGTAAGACAGTTTGCCACAAAATGGGGAGCCATATGCCTTGTGCATACCTGTTTTCATGATTTGCCTTAATGATCCCACTGTGAGTTGCAACATATGTACATATATCCACTGTGACTACAGTTGGTTGACGAACGAACTCGAACAAACATGTTGCGCTCTTAGTATTGTGTTAGGGTTGTATATCTCTTTGGCTGCAATGAGTGCAATGAGCGTACAGGTAAACAAATCATAAATCTTTAGTCACGTGCATAAACGCGACTCCCAGGCACCCGACGTAGAGCCGACGAAATTTCGCTTGTTGCTTATTCGTAATTTCGCGAGGAAATGTATGTCTCCGCAGTCGCAACTACGGTTGTATGCAATGCGGTGTCGAAGGAAGCGCACCAATTAGCATTTTCCATTTCAGTGTGTTGCATTGTCTTTCGTCCACTAAAAAGTAATACGCTATGACTGCGTATCAGCGTTGTTATATGTAAATTTAGATAAGGGAGAACAGCAGGCGTTACTTTTGATATGGTGAAGCTTGTACCAATGACTGCCTGGCAAAATAAAATACCTTTATATATTTATACTCACTTTGCATAACATACACTTACTTACCAATGTGAGGTCGCATGTTCAAGAAAAACTGTTTTAACACGTTTACATACGACATGTATAAACAGCGTGACACGGTTTTGTTTACACAACTGAAAGTCACGGATATATAATAAAAACTTTTTTAATATTTTAAAAGACTGGCGCATTTCTATTGGATATAGATAGTAGTACTGTGGCAATCCTGCCCCAGTATGTTAATTTTTGAGGAGAAAACAACCCTTGTATACAGCAAACATATTCTATTCCTTCAGATAGCGAATTTTAATTTCTTGCATCTCTGGGTATACTGATAAATGTATGAAAGATCTTTAAAGTATTTGTGTGACATACTGTTACTAATATATTTTCTCTTTTCCAGAATTCAAACTGTTCGAAAACGGTCTRAAGTTGGATATCTCCAGCTATTCCCATATGAATATTCGGATGACTACAAAGGGCAAACGCCCATTGCGTAGTTTGACTCCAAGTGATAAAATCAACGCCATTCAACGAATTCATGATGGAGAGTCCAAAGCATCAGTGGCTCGTGATATTGGAGTCCCAGAATCCACATTACGTGGGTGGTGCAAAAACGAGGATAAGCTGCGTTTCATGTCACGACAAACTGATAAAATAACAGCTGATTCCTTGGCCGAAAAGCTGGGAACATCGCCCGCTATTCTCGTAGGACCTCCCGAAAAACGTCAAAAGTTGGACGGTAGTTCTGTACCCTTCATTTATTCTAATAAAATTAAATTTGATGATATGATGTATAGACGGTCTCCGCTAAATGGTATTGATTATGCGTCAAGCAAAACACTTTCAGAGATTACTTTCAATGGCTTGTCTACGGACTATGTTGCTTTCAGCAGTGCTGTAAAGAATAATAAAAGTTTTGGCACTGACGTATCACGTCAAACAGATCCAGCAAATACTGCTATAAGTCCACTCACAAGCCTGTCTCACCTTTCCGGGCTCTCTGGCCTGGCACAATCACCTCTAGCAATTAGTTTCAATGAACTTACATCAAATCTAAATATTTTAGCACAGTTAAATCCTGGACTGGCAGCAATGTCTTGTCTAAATGAATTAGGAGCTACAACAAACCCATTACGTAACGCAAAAACAAAACCTCAACAATTGGAAAGTCCTCAGAGTGACTGTGGAGATCGACAACAGGGGTTATCTGTTAAAAATTGGGCGAAACAAAAATCCCCATCATCGACTTCAGAAGAATCCTGTTATGGACTTAACCTACGTTTAAATGAAGATAATAATAAAAACAAAATTAAATGCCCTAGCCCATCTCTCGCACCATCGCTTTCTATTTTATCAGATGATCCCTTAATTTATTGGTTGAAGTCTCAGCAAGCAGTGTTGGGACTGAATAATATATATCCATCGCAACTGGCACCGCCAATGGGGACTTCAAGTCCACCTTTGCGCTCTTCAACACCACATCAATCAGCGAAACTTCATGTCACGACCCCACTAAATGTTTCTGCATCAATGACCTCATCGACTGCACCTTCTTTGGATGGTAAAAACTCCGCATGGCTTAATTGGTGCAAAGCTTTGGGCGCTAGTCTTAATTCGTTAGCACCAACTACTGCGAGCGCTGTTTTTCATGGCCCACCTATAAAACAACAACATCAACCGTCTTCCATTGCGACCAATTCAACAGATATTGAAACTACTGCATTGACATCAAATATATCCACTCATAGTTCTCAATTGGAAAATATTCTATTTACTCAACTAACAAAAAGTATTGACAGCTGTTCAACGGAAAGTTCAACAATACTGAACAATATCCATTCTACCCATATGGAAAATGTAGATTCTTCAAGCAAGCCCGAAGATCTATCAGCTCGCACGGTAAAAAACAATTTAACAGCTACTTCGCCATCACCGACAGTACCAGCCAAGAACTCAACACCAAGCCCTAACACAGGAAAAACTTTAGTTCCTACTCCAATACATAGCCCAAATGAGCAATTAATAGTAGAAGCTCCCAATTCTCCCCTTTATAATGAAGAAGCAGAAGACTGCGGTACAAATATGTCAGATTGCAAGGACGTTCTGGATAATTTATTGTACAAAATCAATAACAATCCGTCTGTAATTTCATTAAGTAAAGCTACTACTCCGACAAGTGTCGAAGGTGCAGATGATGATGGATGTATAAGCGAATCTAATATTAGCTATGGAAGTGACAATCATCAACATAGTAGCGATGAAAATGTCAATAACAACAATCATTCCAATAAAACAGATGAAGAAGAACGCTTTAAATTTTCGGCGTTAAAAAAAGAAGATGAAGATTATGAAGCCATAAATCATGGAGAACAATTTCTTAAATGGTTAGAAAACTGTAGCAATCCTCGCATAACGGCGTCACATTTAATGCAATTGAGATTCCTTATATCAGCGCTAAAATCTAATTGCGATCCTAATGATGAAAGTAGCCTGCATAATTTAAATAGGAGTAGTACGGAAAGAGCTCCTGAAAATATTGCTGATACATTGGAAGATAGTAGTCTTATAAATAAAGGACGTCGTCGAAAATAGGAAAAACCAAGATCGACAACAATAGACACAAAATCCGGAAATCCAAAAGAGAATATCATACATTATGAAAATCTTCAGAGTTCTTCAAATGATATAGTAACCTTGAATAGGCATTCAATTTTATCGATATATAGTGTTAATACTGAAATCACTGGATAAAGTCAAAGGAAGGAAGGAAAGCAAAAAATATAGCTTAATTTGTAATATCGATAGCGAATCTGTTGATTGAGATATCTACGTACTACTAACAATATATTTACGTTTATTTACGAATATATATTAAAACTATTTACATACATGCACAACGATATTTTTACTGTCTAAATTGGAATTGCATTCAATTTGCTCCTTTGTCAAAATAAGAGTACTAACAAATGTAACGGAAGAGATAGTGCCGTAAGGTTTGAAACTTATTCTGATATTGAACTCATGTAATGACTTTTAAAGAAGTAATGAAATGTTTGAAGAGAATTTAGGTCGAGCTGAATTCCTAAATTCCGTCTTCTATATATTACTTTTAATACCAAAACAAAAAAAGTAGTACACCTTTTATTGGTTCTAAACCATTTGTAGCTTTATATACATTCAATACATATGTATTTAAATGTACGCTTAAGTACTCGTACAAAGTTTTGAAGAGGAAAACCTACATATGTATGTATGTATATGTGACAATATGTTAAATCAATTGAAGTGAAAAAATATATCGTCGCCTAAAATACAAAATAACATATGATCAAAAAATTTGAAGTTGCAAGTTTCATTAAAATCAACCCACTACTTCAAATTAATACATATGAGGACATATGTCCAACATTTTAAGGTTCTGCTATCAGATAAAATCCTGTTTTAACCAATATGTAAATTTTTTCTCACTCATCTTTCATTTTATAAGATGTACCATTTTTTCCCAGTAAATTTCCGAAAATGTTACGTTATTTTGCATTTTAGATACCGATATGTAATTCCGTATGACCTGGTATTAGTAAAAAAAATCTCTTTAAAACAGAAGCGATCAATTATCATAAGATATATGTATGCATGTACATATATGCATCTGACCAATTATTATTTAAAAATCAAAATTCTTTGTTTTGCCTAAGTCAACTACTTAACGAATTGCCATATATGTATGACTACTACATATGTATAAAAATAACGAGCTTATTTATATCAATATATATACATACATATGTACATATGTACTTACAGACATGAATGCACACCTCTTGATTTAAATGTATTTTCTATATGAAGAGCTGTTTTAATTATCGATGTGCATATGTAGTATTTACAATTACATACATATATTGAATTTTTATTCATAAGATCTTCCTTTACTCTGAAAAACTTAAAATTGTGGTTCTCATTTTTTATTTATATAGGTTTAAAACTAATAAATGTAAGTATTATAGTTCTAAATGATCCAAAACTTTATGAAATGTTGTAAGAAATTTTGCATCCCTGCATGCATAAGATTTCAAAAAAATTTTATATACGAAAAAATGTATAATATATTATTTTTTGTACATATATATAATTAAAATTAAACTAATTTTKATGTGAAAAAATTATTAATTTAGTTTTGTATAAGTATTAGAAAATTTTTATCGAAATTTAATATTATTGGTTAATTTTAAATTGAATTTTCTGATAAAAAATCTTTTCAATTTACAAATATGAATTATGTATACAATTTTTTAATGGCGGGAACGGGTGCGTGTTTCGAATTGTCAACTTGGTAAGGCACTAAATATTAAATATAAATGAAGAAACGAACAGAATGAACATTTTTAAGCAAACACGACCATGAATTTAGAAGAAAACTGTGATGTTCTTTGCAATTTAAAATCGTATTCTCAAGATCCATGAAACTTGTTTCATTTGCAAACATGAAAAACTAGCTGGGAAGAAATTTGAGTCAAATGATGCATGCTTTCCAGAAGTAAATATATTGGAAAGTTGCCGAGTCAAACGTATTAATCTAAAAAAATATGTTAAGCAACTACTTAACGGATGTTAACTAAATTTGTGCGTACCATTAATCTGATATGTTTATTTAACATAATAAAGTATTTAAAYCCCTTCTGATTAATTGCTTTGAAATTTATAAATAAAGCACGTATTAAGACACAGAAATACAATTGTGCAAAAATAATTCGTCTGAATTACAAAGCATTTTTTGCTCAAACTTGATGCTAAAATATTATTCGATATTTAAATATATACACTCGTGGCCACGCAAACCTTATCACTCAAAACCTTCATGTATTGTGCATATTTGACAACACTTTATGGCGGTAGAAATAAGTTAATGGCACGTTATTAATCAAAAATATTAAAAATTAAAAACAAAACACATTCAGGAATTGATAAATCAATTGACCGATAGTAAGCTTTACAAAATGAGCTCAAAATGTAAGAGACTGAAAAGCGATGAAAAAATAATATTTTTATATTTTTTGAATTTAATTTCATTTACACTATAATTCAATTTAATATTTTTTTTTTAAGAAACACGAAGCTTAGTCGGTGTATCACTTTAAAAATAATAAAATCGGCCACTTTTGTATAAACACAGAAAAGCTAATTTGTGTTTTACTCATTAAACGTAATAAATTAGAAACTATAATTATAACTAGATAATATAATTTAGTTTACTTATGTTCTTTAAAAACATAAAAAAAACAAAATTTAAGAAAAGCCCGATCGAACGAAAATGTCCGAAAAAAATTTAAAATATATAGTGGTAAGGTTTGCGTGGCCACAAGTGTATGAATGTAAAAAGGGATTTTCATAGTTTGGATTAAACTTTACAAACATGATGACATATGTCTACGAGTTATCCCAGTATTATAAACTATTGGTTCGTCTGTCTATTCTTCAAATCAATATTTTAATTATATTTAGAAAACATGTAAGCGATAACATTTTCCAATCATTCTGACAATTTTTGACTGGGTGGGGCAAAAAGCCGGTATTTAAACATAAAGGGAGCGCTATCATGACTTAATGCTTCGTGAAAAGTTGCAAATTGAATGAAATGATTGATTCCCTGCTTTTGAATGAATATGGCTGATTGTTACGGTTTTTAAGACTTTAGAACCTCTACCTCTTACAAGCCAAAATCACCACTTCTAAATTATGCAAACCATTTTTGACACGCTTGTTGCTTAATCCTCAAATGAATGACATATAGTGAAAACGATGCACAAGTACAGTAACTTTCGCTCGCATACTTTCGTTATGGTCCTTATTAGGGTTTTCAACTCAACTGCAATTTTGTTTAAGTTTTGAAATACGGTCTTATGGGTTTGAATTCAATCCATCAAAAACAAAATCGGTTTCAATTCATTTCAGTCAAACTTCAAGTTTTTGGTATTAAGGATTTCAACTCTGTGTCAGTAGGGTTGAATAGAGTATCAAGTTTTATTTTCAACTGCTAAAACGCAGTTGTTGTTAAACATAAATGAATTTACTTAGGAAAAATATTATTAGAACACGGATAATGGCAGCACGGAAATGAAGAGTTTAGGGTAACTTACATTCAGCTCATTTAGCAAAAAACAAAATTATTATTATTATTTATTAGGGAAAATATACAAAATATTAAACCTAATAGTAAGAAATGAGTACAAGCTACTATGGCCATCGCCTCCGATGTAATAGTATTAAATTACAAAGTTTATATTTTATTATAAAAATTACATTCTTTTAGAAAATTACATATATTAACAATGTTTGCGAAAGATGGTGTATTTAACAATGTTTGATATTTACTAGAATTAAAGTGTTTTTGCCTAATCTCTCTAGTGCTGGACAGATATTGAATATATGTTCCACGGATAATGTGCTGGGGCAGAATGGGCAGGATGGTGTAGAATTGCCGCCAAGAAGATGTTGGTGAGTGATTTGAGTGTGTCCGATCATTAACGAGTGAAAATTGTTGCTTGCTATCAATGTTTTTGGGGGTAGCGTACCTTTTCACGTAGTTTGTTTACGATTGCGTATTTGTGTTTAAATTTCTTCCAGTCTGCATCTTTCTTTTCATATACATATGTGTCTGCTTAAAATTTTACTGAGGTCATTTTGGTCTTGCACCTCGTTAAGAAAAGTGGGGGCAGATTCGAAGAATCTTGCCGCGTTGTCAGCATATTCGTTCCCAGGAATACCAACGTGACCTGGCACCCAGAGAAGAGCTATTTTTCTTTTATATTTAATGCAAATATCTCTAATTTTAGATATTACTATGGAATTATTTCGTATGTTGGGTATGGCGTTCAAGGAGGAGAAGTTGTCTGAGCAAATAATTAATTTGCCTTTTTGTAAGATAGCATATTTTAATGCCATATATATTCCAACTGCCTCGGCGGTAAGTACGGATGAATATGATGGAAGGATTCCGCCAGTAATAGTTGTCCCGTTAGCTGTGCTAACAGCATGTGCAGTATTAGTTAATTTGGACGCATCTGTGAAAATTTCTTTAAATTTTTTATTCTTATAGACGTTAGTTACTTCTAAGAAGTTTTGTTGAAAAACTGTGTTACTGGTGGTGGATTTTTTGAAATTATGTAGAGATGTATTTATTGAAACATCAGTAATCAGCCATTCAGGGTGAGTGTTGGTTGTATAAAATTTCGATGGGATATGAATATTAAAAGTTTATGCAAACTGAAGACAGCGGCGGAGGATAGACTTGAGTTGAAAATTCCTTTTGTGTTTAGCTGCAAGCGTTATACATTTCTGAATGCCAGTGTTCGGAGAATTAAGTATTTTTGGAAGAAGTTGTATCGTTTTTTCGTAAACTCTTTCCTTTATTGACGGTAAGCCACTTTCTCCTAAGACACATTTAGTTGGTGATGTAGGAAAAGCGTTTAAACTACGACG